CCGCCGAGAGCCCCGGGCTCGGGAGGGAGGGAGGAGGAACAGTTTAAAACCCAGGAGACAAAAGTCGCCCGGCTGTAAAAAGCCGAGACCGAGGGGGCAGCCCCCCGGGCCGCAAAATAAGGTGCGGAGGTCTCGGGCTGCGGGGCAGGGAGCACCCGGGGTTTCAAGGAATTGCGCAGGGTTATTTTGAAGTAGCTTTAGGTCCCGTCCCCCCCACCTCTAAATAGCACTGTGGATACCCCCTTTCCTCTTGTCCGCGGTTTTTTTCCTACGCTGCTTCATCCAAAAAGTAAAGCGGAATTAAAAAGGGGAAAAGAAACCCCACCAAAACCTTACTAAAAAGCGCAGGTTTTGATTCAGATCAAAATTGTCAGACTTCAGCATCGCTGGTTTGTATCGCCAGAGACAGTAATGTCATGAATAGATTAAACAGCCCGGGCAGAGCTTGTGCAACACCCGCATACCAGCAGGCACGCGTCGCTGGGAGCGGTGCGCCTTCAAACCGGGGTGAAGCCCCCCTTCCCCCTGAGATCACAGGTGCAGAAGCTTTGTTTAAAATGCCCTTTAAGCCACTTTTTTTTTTTTATTTTCCTGGAAGCTTGGGAAAAAGAAAAAAAATCGAGTTGCCAGCTGAAAAGCGGAGGGAACGAAGCGCTGGGAGTGTGCAGTTGTATAAAAACATAGCTGTAATATATCTGGAGTATGAGATGGAGACCAAACAGCAGCATGGCTAATGACCTCTCTTCCACATGGTACCCTCATCAGAGCCGGGGAGAGAATCCTGCTGCATTATCCAAAACCCGTCTATAGGAAACACACATGCACAGGCAGAAGTGGAGGGAGAGAGATGACATTGTCAAGGGGAGATATCTCTATAAAGCCAGCTTTGGGAGAGCAGCGGCTTTTGCTTTTATTGGGTTTTTCTGTTGTTGTTTAAGACAGGAGGAAACCTTCCCATTTGACGTGGGGGTGGCGGGGGGTAGTCCCAGCCTTCTGATGTTGAAAGGAGCTATCTCCTAACATTTGCTCAGAATGCATCTTTATAAATGTCAGGGAGCAGCGAAACTTTCCAGACTTAAAAGCGGGATTTGAGACGAGGGGGGAAAAAAAGACTTCTGTGCAAGCTCGTGAGCCGGGGCTGAGGGGGGAGCAGGTTTGGCTGCTCACGAAAATCATTTAAAGCCCAGGAGCAGTGGTGTCGGATCTGGAGGGGACGGGCTCAGCTGCGGCTCCGGGGCTAACGGGTTTGGTGTGCTGGGGCTGGGGACAACCCTGCTGCTGGCACCAGACAGCTGGCTGCGGGTGAGGGATGCGTCTGCACAGGTAGCGAGTTAGTATCCTTGGGTTTTTATGCTACTAAATACCCAGGTTGGGGCACGGTTTTCTTATAATTCTTATACCTCGTAGCTCTACCTTCTCTGGGGACTCTGTATTTAAAGAGCTCAATAAGTGGGGCGTTTGGGAGCAAATAAAGAGCCTGGGACCCATAGGAAAGGCAGCTGTTGAAACCGATGGGGCAGTGGCTGGGGTGCATGTCCAAGGCAGCCGGAGCAGTAGTATGCTCCTGCAGAGGCGAGAGAGGTGTGGGACGAATGTGTCAGCCCCTCAGGGGGCAACCCAATGCCATCCTGCGTGATCCCCCCTGGACCCCATCCAGTGCCCAGACTCGATGCCTATCTCGGGTACCCCAGTGCCAGCTGGGACCTGCCGAGTCCCAGGGAGGCCTCTGGGGTCACCGAGCCCTGTCGCGCTCCTGAGTCACCTGCACCTCTCTGCTTAGGGCATGTCTGGAGCGGGCACGGCTCTGTAAAGGGCTCTGGTTGCTGCGTCCCGGAGCTTAAAGCTCCTTCTCCCGCGGAGGCTTTGCTGGCACAGGAGGTACCACCGTGGTCCCGGCTCTGTGCCTCCCCGTAAAGCCCAGCTGGAGGCCGGTGATCTCGGCTCAGCCCATTCGCCCCTCTGAGGAGTAGAGATTATAATGGTGTGTCGTATATTTTTTAATTTCCTAAAGGTAACTGTTCAGTCCCCACCTAATTTTACACAGCATGTGAGGGAGCAGAGCCTGGTGACGGATCAGCTCAGCCGGCGGCTCGTCCGTACCTACCAGCTGTACAGCCGGACCAGCGGGAAACATGTGCAGATCTTGGACAACAAGAAAATCAATGCGATGGCAGAGGATGGGGATGTGCACGGTAAGGACGGGTGATGGGGGCAGGTGGGGGGGGGGGGTGGCCCAGGGGGGGGTTTGGACCCCGGCG